TCTGCACCGAGGACTCACTCTTGAGGTTCAAGCTACTGTCAATCAAAGACCAGTTCAGGAAAAATTGCTGTACACTAACCCAGGTTTGAAAATAGCATTTGGGGTTTGCTTTAAGAACACCCCCTTACTTTGGGGAAGACAACTTTGGTGGTCCTTACAGTCTCTTTTCTGTCCCTTGCCAGGTGCAGACGGCACCGCTGTGCAAAATTTCTCCTGTTCCATCTACAATGCGGGGTTCATGAACTGCACGTGGGTGAAGGGTCGTGCAGCTCCTGACGATGTCCAGTATTTTATGTACATAAAAAACAAGAGGTGAGACCTTGCCTCATCTGTAGACACCCATAGGGAATATTACACAAGCAGGAAAAATGCTGACCCCACCCCCTCCCCTTCCTCTCTGATTGCTCTGGGGACACTTTGGCATCTTTCAGGACACTGCTAGAAATGGAATGTCCCTGTTACCTTCAAGAGTCGGGAATCCACACAGGATGTCACCTGAGCAACTTGTCATTGTTAAGTGTCAAAAGCTATGTCCTGGTGAATGGAAGCAGCCCAGCCATGGGGATCCAGTTTTTTGATTCCATTTTTTTAACCAAAGGAATAGGTGAGAATGAAAATTATTAGGTTCCAAGACTGACAGACTTTCATACTTCCTCAGTTCGGATTAGCACGAGGGCAAACGTGAAACACAATGGCAGGTGTGTCAGATATACGAATATTCAGTCAACTTCCCAGTAGCAAGACAGGGGGCCAACAGCTGTGTTTTGCAAACTGGGGAATTTGCACAGTACACAAAATGAACAACCAGAGCCACACCAGCCTCACCCCACTGCATCCCATGTCCACCTGCCTCCCTGGGGCTCCCCCACTGCGTCTGTCCTCAGTGTCCGCACCTGCCAGTCCTCTTGTCAACCCCACACCAACCTACACCTGCTCAGGATGTCACTTGTCCATCCAGGTGCTGTCACTGGCAGGGTTGAGCTGTATATCCTGAGTTGACTGGGGGTGGAATTTTGATGGTCACTGAGGGACACCACCAACTTCCCCCTGTTGTCCTAACAGAGAAACTGGACCCACCAGCCAATGTCACCGTCCACTGTAATGTGTCACACTGTCACGTGAGGTGGCACCAGCCAAGGACCTGGCACAGATTCACCCACCAGGACTTTCAGTACCAGCTGGACATCCAGAGACAGGTCAGAGGTCACGGCAAGGGACCATGGCCAAGCCTCTGGGGGGGGACAAAGGGAAATGTTCAACGTCCTAAGAGAGAGAGAGACAGAGGGATCCAGACGGACAGGGGACACTGCCTGCAGGACAGAGGAGACTGGAAAATCAAGTAGGGTAGGATGTAGGATGACCAACATCCCACAGGGACAAAGAAAGATGTCACAGGGGACAAAGTCCATGTCCAACAGGGGACACGGAAGGATGGAAGGGGATACAGATGGCCAAAGCGGTGACGGTGAAATGCACAGAAGAGCACGGATGACGCACTTCATTGAAATAGGACCTGGGAGAAAGGAAAAGGACATGTGTCCCTGGACAGTGATGACCGGGATGGTTTTTCTCTTGTGTCCCCTGTGTATACAAAATGTGGGTTTCGTCCATGTCCCTTGTGTCACCTGCTGTGTCACCTGAGCAGGTACAGTATGGTGTGCAGATCTTTTCCTTCCCTCCATCCCGGCCTATCATTAAGGGTGCTTGGATTTAAGTCCTCTGTCCTGTACCCCCAAAATTTCTGGTCACCTGAACCCCAAGAGTGGGCTTAGCTTGAACTTTGTTGAAAATCTTTTAAAATTGGAAAACCTAAAACCTTCTTGTTTTTTTTTTTTTTCTAGAACATCGATCCAGGAAATCTAAATCCACTGGTAAGTTTGACCCCCCAAAAACTCAGCCTTGTTAATCACTTCTATGTGAGCCCTAAAATGTCACCTCGCTAATTCCCTGTGACCACGACGGGGTGTGTCCTGTTCCCAGGGTCCAAGGTCTTTATCAATGACTCCAATCCCTAGTGGCACAGGAGTCCCCTTTCATTCCCACAAAGCGACATCTCTTTGTATTTCTAGTGGCATTTGTGGGATTTTTGGGGGGGGGATTCCTTATATCCTACTAATTTCACATTCTAGTTCTGTTTTATAATCCATTTAATGCATATTATGGAGACTTTTTTTGTTTTTTCTCCAAAAGTCCTGGATAGAAATACCGTTCGTGCTCCTTTGTGCAATGGCATTTTGCATCTGACCATCACCACTCTGACCTTCGGTCCTAATGTCCTCATATTCTCTGTCCCATATCTGGGGCAGTTCGTGTCAATATTTGTCCCTAAACTCTCCATCTATATTTACAATAGAAACCCTATAAATTGTTATAGGGCCCACTCTGCTTGTTTTAACTTTTTCCCATAAAACCACAGGAGCCTTACACAATTGTCTCCTGGTCGCTGTGGGACTCGGTGACACGTCTTTCCTCGAGGACCAAAATCCGCACAACTGCTTTCTATGAAATAGTGTTATATTTTCATTAAAACCTATCACATTTTCAATGTATTTAAAATCACTTCAAGATGACTTACCAAAACTAATATAATTATATTCATCATTAAATAGCACTGTAAATAATTGTTACACTATATTTATTTAGAAAAAAATAACAACAAAAAAAAACCAGACATTTTTTTCTAAATATTGTTGCACCTGTGTTTGATTGAATTCACAGACATAGGGGGTCACAGATTATCCCGATATTTTTAATATGTGATGATCCAAATTCTGCCACACAGCCACTTTTTCATGCTTTTTTTCTTTTTAACTTTATTCGTATTATGTTGCATTTATTTTTGGCACAGGGTCTCTCCTAGATTGGCCTTGAACCCACAATCCTCCTGGCTGGAATTGTAGGCGTCTACTACTGAGCCCAACTGGTTTTGAAGTTTTTTCAATTCATTTTATTCCTTTTGTTTTCCCCCTTGGATGGACGCGGTTGCTAACTTTCTGCTTTTTGTTCCACCCCCCAAAGATCAACATTTCGGGTAATTCAGAAAATAAATACCATTTTCCAAGCCCTGAGCCCAGACACAAGCACACGGTGCAGATCCGGGTTGCGGACACCCGCCGACCACAGTGGAGCGCGTGGAGCCGGCCAGTGGAATTCGGTGAGGGGACAAAACACAGGGCATTGGGACTGGGGACACAGAGGGCCAGCGGTGACATCAGGTGCATGTGGGATGAAGGGGAGGGACATGGCAGCTGGCTCTGGGCACCAGGTTTTGAGGGAATCCTCCCTTGGGGCTCATCACGGTCAGCACTAGTGTCACCAGGTACAAAGATGGCTGTCCCCGCTGTGGGCTGGTGGCACTTTGGTGGCCTGGCTGGCTTGTTTCCAGTCACAGCCAAGAGCTGATTTGACTGTGACCCAAAAATAGAGTGGTTTAAGGTCCCCTCGAAAGCTGAGCCTCGTTCCTAACTGGACCTGGTCACACAGCCTGGGAAAGTCAGACTCCTGTGTTCAGTCACCTGTATGCGGTCACCTGCGTGAGGTCACCTGTGTGGAGTCACCTGTGTGAGGTCACCTGCGTGAGGTCACCTGTGTGAGTTTATCTGCGTGAGGTCACCTGTGTGGAGTCACCTGTGGGAGGTCACCTACGTGAGGTCACCTGTGTGAGTTTATCTGCGTGAGGTCACCAGTGTGAGGTCACCTGTGTGAGGTCACCTGCGTGAGGTCACCTGTGTGAGTTTATCTGCATGAGGTCACCTGTGTGGAGTCACCTGTGTGAGGTCACCTGTGTGAGGTCACCTGTGTGAGTTTATCTGCGTGAGGTCACCTGTGGGAGGTCACCTGTGTGAGGTCACCTGCGTGAGTTTATCTGCATGAGGTCACCAGTGTGGAGTCACCTGTGTGAGGTCACCTGTGTGAGGTCACCTGTGTGAGTTTATCTGCGTGAGGTCACCTGTGTGGAGTCACCTGTGGGAGGTCACCTACGTGAGGTCACCTGTGTGAGTTTATCTGCGTGAGGTCACCAGTGTGGAGTCACCTGTGTGAGGTCACCTGCGTGAGGTCACCTGTGAGTAGTTGTTTATCTGCGTGAGGTCACCCGGTGTGGAGGTCACTGTGTGAGGTCACCTGTGTGAGGTCACCTGTGTGAGTTTTTATCTGCATGCAGGTCACCTTGTGTGGAGTCACCTGTGGGAGGTCACCTACATGAGGTCACCTGTGTGAGTTTATCTGCGTGAGGTCACCTGTGGGAGGTCACCTGTGTGAGGTCACCTGTGTGGAGTCACCTCTGTGAGGTCACCTGCGTGAGGTCACCTGCGTGAGGTCACCTGTGTGAGCTTATCTGCGTGAGGTCACCGGTGTGGAGTCACCTGTGTGAGGTCACCTGTGTGAGGTCACCTGCGTGAGTTTATCTGCGTGAGGTCACCGGTGTGGAGTCACCTGTGGAGTGACCACGTGAGGTCACGTGGTCAGCTGTGTGGGTTGGGGACGTCCTGTGAATGGGAGCTGGAATGGGTGGCCTTTGTTTCCATCTCCAAAATGGCAAAAAAAAGAAAACAGAAAATTCCAGAAAGCAATTTTGTGCATAATTTTTTTGTGATACAAACACCAGTGAGTCTCTGAATTGCAATTTATGCACCTGACAGCAAGTCCATAAGTCATTGATGGATGTATCAATTGCTTATTAATAATTGATCACTTATATCAAGTTATTTATTGGTGGTTTGTTATTAATTTACTAATTCACAATTAAAATTACTTCCATGAAATTAAAAAAGAATGGGAGAAAATATTCGCAAATTCTCACAATTTAGGATCCTGATATCCACCACATGTCAAATGCACTAAAATTCAACAAAAGGAAGAAAAACACACAAACCCGATTTAAAAAATAGGTTTAAAAAAAAAACGGCTCGAAGAGGGAAAAGAAAAGCAGACATATTTCTGGGCGTATCGATCTTTCCTTGGTGTGTGGTGTTGATTTTCAATTTAAATCGCAGGTGGGAATATTGTAATTCTCCTCGGAGTTACTGTTAAGAAGTTGAATTGGATTTCATATTAAACTGGACTTACTGTACCGAGTATATCCTAACAGAATAGCTTACAGATTTTCTGTAGGGTTTTCTTTAAAATCATAAATGAGAAATCCCTCTTAGATCTCAGTTGTAACTCAAACTTTTAGAATTTGGCTTATTCTCTGCAATAAATAATTTTGTCAAAAATTCAGATGTTCCATATTATGTCAAATATTTTATTTTTTAAAAATATGAACGTACATGTAAAATATATAATTTTTGTGATGTGACACATTTTCTGTGTTAATCTGTAAAAATGTCAAAGTAAACATTAAATTTAGCCAACAATCCTGGTGGCATTGGGTTTTCAAATGAGATTTTCAAATATTAACAGTTAAAATGTGTCCTATGACTAGAAAAAAAAATTTTTTTGGTTCAAGGTGCATATTTCAGAAAATACATAAAATTGTAATAAATGCGCCTTTTTTATAAACAAAATTTCCACCAAAGTGTGCAAAATTTGAGCCTAGACACCAAGAAATGTGATTTTTTTTGTTTTTGGAGGTGGGTCTCACTATAACAGCCCAGGGTGACCTTGAACCTACTCTGTGGCCCAGGGTGACCTTGAACTTGCAGTATTCCTGCCTCCAACTCCTGAGGGCTGGGATTACGGGCGTGCGCTGCGTTGCCCAGCTCGAAAGAAACTTTTCAGGACTGCGGAATGAGGTTTCGGAGCATTGCTTAGCAACGTGAGGCCCGGGGCTCCATCCCAGCACAAATCAATCAATCAATTCAATATATACGCACTTAAATAAATAAATATTGAAATGCCTTCAGAGAAAATCAGTTTTCAAAAAATCCGCACACCCTAGCATGTTCATTTTCTCTTTTTGCCATTTTTTTTCAAAGCTGTCCGTACTTGAGGGGCTTTGGGCTTTTTGTGGGTGGCGTTGCACAGAAAAGATACTTTGGTGTCATTTCGTGTCCTGGCCCCAATGGAGCCATAAGTAATGTGGTGGTCCCCAATGGGTGTGTCCCCCGCGCGGTGACATGTACCTCCCGTTATGGTGGCCATGACTCCCCAGGGGTTACATGTCCCTCCATAATGGTGGCGTGTCCCCCCCAGGCAGCTTCTCTGCCCCCCCAGCTCAGAGGACATGACAGCCACCATCCTGCCACCTGCATCTGCTGCTGGTGGCCCTGGGGACACTCATCTGTGCCTGATGCTCCTGCTCCTCCTCAAAAGGTGGGTGACCCCGAACAGGCCGCACACCCCCACAAGGGTCGGGGGGTGCTGGCTGCAAAGGTGGAGGCAGCTGTCGGAGAGACAGACAGACAAAGAAAAAGAGAGAGGAGAGGATGCAGAGATAGGAGAGTAGAGAGAGATAAAGGAGTAAGAAGAGATACGGAAGAGAGAGAGGAGAGAGACAAAATAGAAAAAAGAAAGGAGACAAAAACAGAGCAGAGAGAGTGAGAAAAGAGATGAGAGAGGCAGAGAGAGGAGAGACAGAGAAAGAAAAAAGGAAAGACAGAGGGAAAGTACTCAGAGAGAGAGATGAGAGAGAGAGTACAAAGAGGGACAGACAGAGAGTCACAGAAGGAGAGAAAGAAACAGGATAGAGAAATAGAGACAAAGAGAGGGAGAGAGAGAGAGAGGGAGAGAGAGAGAGGGAGAGAGAGAGAGGGAGAGAGAGAGCAGAGGGAAAAGAGACACACAGAGAGAGAGACAAAGAGATGGAGAGAAATGGACAGAGAGAGTAGGGAGACAGCATTGAAGAGGGGCAGAGAGACCAACGAAAAAGAAGAGAGTAAGAGAGAGTAGAGCGACACAGAGAGAGAGAGAGGGAGAGGAGAGAGAGAGAGAGTAGATAGAGAACAGAGACAGAGAAACAGAGAGACAAAGAGTGAGTAGAGAGAGTCAGAGTAGAGAGAGAGATAGACCAGAGAGGCACAGAGGAGAGAGAGAGGAGCGCAGAAGCCCAGGTGATGCCCCCAGGGCACATGGATTGCAGTGGGTGAAGGGCGATGAGAAAAAAATGGGTTCCCCTCCCGCATTCTTCACAGAGCCCAAGGCAGCCTCACCGTGCCCCGTGCCCCAGGGCCTCACCTCACTCTTGGGGTTCCCACAAGCCCAGGGATCCCGGGATGCCTCCTGTTGCCAGTGGTGGCTGATGGCTGTGATTTCCCTCAAAATGGGTCTCTGTCCCTGTCCTCCTGGTGTGTGGTGTAACACTGTCCCCCACAGTAAAACACCTGTCGAACACAACAGTGAGGACACCGTCCCCAAATCTGCAGGTGAAGACCCTATTTCCAAATGGGGTCCCCATGCTCAGGTCCCAGGTGACACACCTTTTGGAAAAGTCACTTTTCCCTTCAGTTCTATGGAACTCGACCATATCCAATATGGCGGCCTGGCCCAGTGGAGTGGGTGACACAGGCTGGTCCAGGATGACCTCATCTCAGGATTCCAATTCCATCTGCAAAGACCCTATTTCCAAATGGGGGTCCCATGCCTCAGGTCCCAGGTGACAACACCTTTTGGAAAAGTCACTTTTCCCTTCAGTTTATGGAACCGACCATATTCCAATATGGCGGCCTGGCCCAGTGGAGTGGGTGACACAGCTGGTCCAGGATGACCTCATCTCAGGATTCCAATTCCATCTGCAAAGACCCTATTTCCAAATGGGGTCCCATGCTCAGGTCCCAGGTGACACACCTTTTGGAAAAGTCACTTTTCCCTTCAGTTCTATGGAACGTGACCTTATTCCAATATGGCGGCCTGGCCCAGTGGAGTGGGTCCACGATGAGCTCCTCTCAAGAGCCTCAACTCCATCTGCAAAGAGTCTATTTCCAAATGAGGCCCCATTCCCAAATTTTAGAGTTCAAGAAGACTTATATTCTGGAGGGAGGACCTCATACAGACGAGTCTAAACAAATGGTGACATTGTGGGATTAGAGATGCTTGATCTGCAGAAAGGAAGAAAAGAAGCGACGTTGTAAAAATGCAACAAGACTGTGAGTCTTTTCTAGAATAAAACATGGCGGTTCAGTGAAAATGTGTAAATAATGAATGAAAGGGAACCCTGAACCCCTAAAGTGTGACCTTGAGTGACAGCGGGAGTGTCCTCTAGCGTCCCCCATAGGGATCTTGTCACCTCCAGGGACTTGGCTGGTGACATTGGTGTCACCGCTCTGGGCTCCGAGGTGGTCAGCAAGGTGACCATGGGGAAACTCACCATCCCAGTGACCTTGTCATCCTCCATCTCTGTCCTCTAGGTTCGTGGGGACCTGTGATCTGTTCCCCACAATCCCACAGGTGAGGGACAAAGTAAGCGACAACCACCAGCAGGTGAGAGCGAGCGCCGCGGGGGGGGTCTGTCAGGGTGACCCTGTCTTCTTGGGGTCGGGGTCTTCTCTGTGAGATTGTGGGGACCTAGGGATGGGGAAGATGGAGGAGGAGATGGACAGAGAGAGGAGAGAGATTGAGGACAAGGAAAGAGAGACACAGGGTCAGGGTGCTCTTTGAGCTTGTGGGGGACAGAGGAGAGGGAGGACAGACAGACAGAGAGAGGCAGAGAGGAGACAGCAGCCACAGGAGCGAGATCCCCGATGGTCCGAAGATGTCACACCTGTGCCCCAAGATCTCCAGCTGTCCCCATCCCACCTGGCACTTCCCAGCCAACACCTGCTTCTTCTTCCCACCTTTGTCCACCTACAGTGACCTGTCCACCTGGTCACAGGTCACATGTCACACTCGCTGCCATCCTCAGCCAGCTTTCTGTCACCCTTCCACATAAACCAGCATCATCCTTTCTGTGGACCCCACTTTCCAGGGGACGTCCACCTGGGGCTCCTGGACACACCGACACCTGCATCTTTGACTCCAGACTTTGACCAACTGCAGGACCTTTGCACGTCTGTGTCTTAATCCAAGTCCCCCACTGCTCCCAGCCGCCTCTGACCACATCCTGCCTCATTTTTCCATGACAAGAGACCCCTTTTTTTCCACCCCAAATCCTTCTTAGAAGAAAAATGACCCCCACACTGACCCTCGCTCTCTCTTTTGTTTCCCTCAGACTGTCTGGGAGGATTTGTGCGGGGACCGGGGAAAGTGAGGACGAAGAGGTCCTGACCGTAGAAGAGTGTCGAATCCCTTTGGTGGCCATGTGTGAACCAGGTGGACACTTCCGGTCCACTATTATGGAAATTTCTTGTGATGTTCCAAGACTTTTATAGAACTTTCTTTTTACTGAAAAAAAATTAAAATGAAAAACAAATACGGTGTTTGCAGATTCCTGTCCCCTTTGGATGTGACCATGGATAGGAGGTGTAGTGACCTCCATCAGAGCTGGCCTCTCTGTCCACAGGTTTAATCTGTCACCTCCATGATGGTGGCCGAAGGGGGCTGGGACCTTTGTCTCGGCCCTGTCACTCTCTCTCGTCACATGGTTTTTGGCTTCTGTCCCCACCCCCACCCCCCATTCAGTGCCAGGTCAGGGAGAATGACCAAGTGTCATGGTGGTGAC